CCCTCCCCCTCCCCCTCCCCCCTCTCTCTTTTTTTTTTTTAAATTAAATTAAATACCTCGTCACCTCCGTCTTGACAATATGCATATACACGTACATACATACATACGAATACATACATGTAAATAAATACATACCCATGTGCATATATAAATAAATATAAATAAATATAAATAAATATATATATAAGTGTATGTATAAAAATTTTTTTTTTCTTTTCTTACAGTTATTATTATTATTATTATGCATTAGATTCCCATTATTATTATTATTGATATTTTTTTTTTTTCTAAAATACAAATAAGTAAATTAAATACAAATATGTTTATATAAGTTTCTTTTACCTCCCCTTCTTCTTTTCTTTTTTTCTTTTTTTTTTTTTTCCCCCCTTTTCTCCCTCCCTCTCTCTCTCTCTCTCTCTCTGAAAAATATTTATATTTATTTGTATGTAAATATTCATTTTGGCGGGCAACATTAAAATAAAAAAGAAAAAAGAAGAAAAGAAAAGGCACGGGAGTTTGTATCAAACGTACATAAAAAAACAAAAAACAAAACAAAAGAAAAGAAAAAGACCAAACCAATATTTACAGAAGTTATATAAAATATTTATTTTCTTCCAGGCCACCCTAAAACCAAATGGACAAACGGCTTTTTTTTCTTTTTTTTTTTTCCTCCCACACTCCTCTAACCCCTCCCCCTCTCCCTCTCTCTTTTTTTTTTTTTATTATTTATTATTGAGAAAAAGAAAAGAAAAAAGAAAAAAAAAAAGCCTAATCTCGCAATGTTGCAAGATAAGCGATGAGGTCTGCACGTTCTTGTGGTTTTTTAAGACCGGCAAAAGCCATTTTTGTTCCGGGCATAAACTTCTTTGGATTTTCAAGATAAACGTCCAAAACCTCCTCCGTCCAAATCACACCCGAGTCCTGGTTTGCTTTGCTGTACGCGAAGCCCTCCACTGTGCCGGAGTGACGACCATAAATCCCGTAGAGGTTTGGCCCCACGCCATTCGCCCCTCCTTTTGTTCCTGTGTGACACTGCGCCGCACGACCCTTGAAGATCTTCTCACCCTTTGCGGCGTCACCCGGTGGAAGTGGCGGTCTGGCCTTCGGTGGCATTTTATTTGTAAATATAAATAAATATTTATAAATATTTCCCCTGGTAGAAAAATTTTAAAAAGAAAATAATAATAATAATAATGAACAAAAAACAAAACAAAACAAAAAAAAAAAAGGGAACTATTGCTGGTAGTTGCTTGAGTGGCCTTACGCCTCTTGTCCACAGGGAGGGAAAGGGAAAAGGAAGAAGAAGAAGAAAAAGAAGAAAAGGAGACAAAATCATAATGCAGGGTGGCGTTATTATTAATAATATTATTAATATTATTAATATTATTATGGTTGTTGTTGTTGCTTCTGGGAGGGAAACAAACAAACAAACAAACAAAAGAAAAGAAGGATAAATTTAAAAGGAAAGGAGGTAAAAAAAAAAAAAAAAAAGAAAAAAAAAAAAAGAATACGCATGCATAACACCACACAAATGCGCAGCGATAGTCACAACAGCCAGCAGTACCTAAAATAAACCAGGCATGTGGCAAAGAGAATGGAAATGGAATATATCTACATATATATATATATATATATATATGTATGTGTAATATATACACACGCTTGGGTGAGAGATGCCCTGTCCCTTTATTCCTACATAAAAGGGAGAAATGACCACAACAAAGGGGAGATGACACTTCGGGGGAGAGAAGGGGTGGGGTGGGTTTCTGTTGGCGTCATGCAATTTGTCAGAATTCCTTCCCACGGGGAAGGAAGTCGCAGCGGTGGTGAACGGGCCGACAGAAAAAAAAAAAAAAATAACAATAAATAAATAAATCCCCCCTCCCCCCCCCCCAAAAAAAAAAAAAAAAAGAAGAAAGTACACACACACACAATACACATACGCATATAAATATATATATTTATTTATGTGTACACACTCGTTGCGTTTTTTTATTATTATTTTTTAATTTTATTTCAACGCAATTTCACTTTTTTCTCTTCTTTATTTCTTCCTTTTTAAAAACCCACCTTTTCCCCCATTCCCTCCCACTTCCCCCCTCTCCAAAAAAAAAAAAAAAAAAAAAAAAAATCAAAATAATCAACAGCCACAGCAGCCACAGCAACCACGACAGCCACAGCAGCAGCCACAGCAGCCACAGCAACCACGACAGCTGCCACAGCAGCAGCCACAGCCACAGCCACAGCCACAGCCACAGCCACAGCCACAGCCACAGCCACAGCCACAGCAGCCACAGCCACAGCCAGAGCAGCCACAGCAGCAGCCACAGCAGCCACAGCCACAGCCAGAGCAGCCACAGCCACAGCAGCCACGGCTGAAGAATTGATTAACCGTGCTGAAAACGCCAATATAAAATAAAAATAAAAATAAAATAAATATTTACACATGAATCCTCCACTGTAATCGCAATATACATTTATATATAAATAGTCAAATAAATAAATAAATAAATAAATAAATAAATATATCCCCTCCTAACAGTTTATAAAATAAAGGAAGGGAAAACAAAACAAAAAAAAAAAAAAAAACAAGCAAACCAAACAAAAATGATGCAGGCATAAAAAGACACTTCATTTCACTCGTTTTCATTCTCCCTATGCCTCATACCAAAACAAAACACAAAAAAAAAATGAAGAACAATAAATAAATAAATAAATAAATAAATGTATACAGCTTTTCCTCCAGCACTACGATATATATATATTATATACACTAAACAAGAAAAACAAAAGAAAAGGAGGGAAAGACAAGAGGATACAAGAAAAAACAACAACAACAATAACAACAACGGGAGGCTAAAGAAAAAAGAAAAAAAAAAAAAAATAGAAAAAAGGAAGGAAGCAAGCAAGGAAGGAAGGAAGGAAGGAGCATGATATTCCTACTTATATACCCTTCACAATCAAACGTAAAAGTTTTTATGTGCAATTAAACTTTTTTTTTTTTGTTTTCTTTTTTGTTGTTGTTTTTGATTTAATTTTTCCTCTTATTTACGCCAAAACTACCAAACAACGACGGGCTCTTTTTTTCCCTCCTCCTCCTCCTCCTCCACACATTCGCAGCAAAAGAATGCACGGGGTTTTCTTCCTATTTGGGTACGACCCCCTTCCACACACACACACACACACACACACACTCTCTCTCTCTCTTTCTCTCCACCCCTTCACTCGCTTAAATGAGTTTTTTTTTCCGTTCACAATATAAAAGAAACTCGCCGAGACTGGCGCTTCCCCAACAGCACATGGCCAGCAATGCCACCCAACAAAGGGTTTACTGTACAAGGCGTATTTCTATTCAAGTGACTATTTTTGCCGCCATCTGTGGTTACGACCGTATTCCCCTTCTCTTCACCTTTCATCTCGCATTCCGCCGGTGCGGAGGTAATGTCAAGTGATGTCAGCGTTGGTATCGTCTTGATGCCATGCAATCCCTCCAACGTGACTCCTGTCCATCCAAGCCGCAACCCACGTAACGTGGGCGACGTGGCGAGACAAGAAACATCCGTAATGCCTGTTGCATGACTGAGGTCAAGCTCCTCCAGTGTCCGAATGCTCTGTAACCCCACAATACCATCATTATCTAATGCTTTACACCGTGATAATTTTAGCCACCTCAACGACGTCGACTGGGCAAGAAAAGACACGGAACTGACAGCTGTATTTGTGATATCTAAAAGCTCCAAAAATGGCATACTTTCAATACCCTTGAGTACAAGCGTGTTCACCCAACACGGAAGGGGTTCAATGAGGCCACGTACGTCCCGCCGCTCCCCCCAACGCCAAATAAGTTGTCTCAGATGACAGGAAAGGCGAAAAAGCATTTTAATATCCTCCACAACAGTGTCGCTAACATCCAACAACTCAAGAGAGTGAAGTGTATGCAAGTTACCAATGCAAAATCCACGCGTGTTACGGTTCGCCCTCACAAAAAGTCTTTTCAACGATTGACAACCAGAGGAAAGAAATTGAAGGGAGGTAACACTTGTTTGTGAGATATCCAATGTGTGCAATGAAGGAAGCTTCTCAATTCCACGTATACCGTCCACCGTGATAAGTGTCTCCACAAGGCGTAACTCCCGAAGAAGGGGAAGCGCGGATAACATGCGAAGATCATACACATCCGTAAAGGACAGATCCAATACGGATAGGTTTAACACATTGGGAAGCTCCGTTATGGAGACAAGGACGCCACTCGCAGAACTCCACTCTGAAGCATCTTCCGCAAGAAAACTATCCGCAACATTGGAAATGACAAGTGTTTGCAATGATCGCATACTCCCAATGCCTTTAATACCATTACTATCGACACGTGTCCGGCGCAATACCAATGATTTAATAGACTTACTGACAAACAAAGACTTCACACTATGAATTGCACAGTGTGAAAGGTCCACATGCTCCAGTGTTGGGATATCCGCCAGGCCACAGAATCCAGCCTCCGCGTCGTTTTCGATGGGGTAGTTGCTCAAATAGGTAGGCGTACATGAGTTTTTCTTAGAGTGCGTTCCATCTTTTCGGCGTGATTTCGCATGGGCCTCTCCATTACGGGAGGATTGCCGATCAAAGAGGATATCTTCACAATTAATTAGTTGCAACCACTGGGCTGTTAGGCTTTTCAGCGAAAGGTTCCCACGTAGTGTGGAGAGATCCGTCACTTTGGTTGTACTAACATCAAGCACCTCCAGCCGAGGCATCTGCGCCAGGCGACGCAAATCTTCGTTGGTCACTTTGCATGAGTACAAGATCAGTTTCTCCAGAGAACCTGACTTGTAAAGTCTAGGCAACGACTGCACTTTGGTGCGACTAATGTTAAGCTTCTTCAGCGTCGGTATCTTCTCCAGACCAAAAATGCCCTCACTTGTCACAGGCGTTGACGTGAGAGACAACTCCTCCAGAGAGCGACTCGCTGAAAGACGCGTGACGTCCGTTACGCATGTCATGCTCAAACACAAACGACGTAGTCGACGCATTTTCTCAAGCCCAACAATCCCCTCATTTTGTATGGCGGTGCACTGCGCATCAATCTCTTCAATTTCAGCAAAACGGCCATTGCGGCATTCAATGAGTGATCGCAACGACTTCAGCTGCCGTATGTGCGAGACGCAAACAACTTTTAACGTGGGAATTTCGGCCAGTCCACGGAGTCCCTCCTCGTCAATCATACAACCTTTTAAATTGATAACACGAAGTGTTTGAGAAACCGCAAGACAAGCCCCAATGGAACCAAATGTGGACCTGGAAAGGTCGGCCTCCCTTCGGTGAGCATACTGGGATAACGTAGCGAGCTGAACATCCTTGGTAGAGGTATCTCCGCTCAGACAGGGCGTTGAACCGGCAAGAGGCAACTGGGTGGAGAAACTATCCGTTGGCCAATCCGCACCACGGGGAGAAGCGTTGTTGGAGTCGGTTGAGACATTGTTAGATAAATTGTGGGGAAACAAATCTTCCATTAACATCCCGTTTTGCCCTACCGTCGACGTTGGCCGTGGTGAGGAGGATGTGACCATTTTTTCATTCATCCGCTCCGTTTCGACCGTTTTGCCTTTTTTCTGTTGGACCACACCCCGTTTCTCATCATCGGCAATCGGCATATTGGATGGCATGTTGTTGTTTGTCACTGATAACAAGTTGGTGCAAGAACGAACTTGTTCTTCAATCGCCGAGAGTCTTGGTATTTGTTTTAATTGCTGTTCCTGCTGGTTGAAAGCCTTCTCCCTCTTTTTCTCACTGGATCGAGAATACGCCGGGCTAGTTCCTATACTATTCTTGGGGTCATTTGCCGATTTAGGCTTATTCAATGCCTTGGCTGGTTCAGTCCCTCCACTACCCGCTGAGGAAAAGGATATTCTACAAAGTGGTTTTGGTTTCTCTGGCGGTGAAACCCTAACGGAACCACCGGCGTCAACATTCGACGTGTCATGCAACGTATTTCTAAGATTAGCATTGGTCGTGATTGTAGTATTATTCTCGAAGGCCACAAGGGTCGGTTCCAGAGATAAAAGCGAGAGATTTAAATTGCCGTTAGCCGAGAAAGCAGCCATCGCAGTGGCAGAGTTCTCATCACCTCCTTTCGTCCCACTAGATCCAGTCGAAGTCGTTCCAGGCGTCTGCGGCGTGTCAGGAGCCGCCGACACACCTTCCAAATCCGTTCCACTGCCCTTGTCGAGCGTGATAGAAGACGTGACCTTCTTTTGGGAAGAAGTGGAGGTGGATATCGCAGCAGTGGCACTCTCCACCACGTCGTCCTCCAACAAAAAAAAAGATGGCGGCATGGGGATCATGCATTTAATCGCAGGTGAATTGCCACAAAGCGAGTTTCGCATGCTCGGCAGAGTACTATCCCCACCCACTGTGGTAGCAGCAGTCGTTGTACCAGGAGGGGTTTCGTGTTTCATGGTGGACACGGAAACGGTCTCCAGAGAATTCTTTCCAGACTGATCCATCCGCAAAGTATTGGGCGCATTCTCTTTATTTTTAATATTCCTCTTCTTACCCTTCTTCTTCTTCTTCGTTCGCTGGATGGTTGACCTCGAGGGCGAACCACTGCACGTTGCTGACACGTCGACGGACGCAGCGTTCTGTGAGGTCTTTTCCCCACCAAAAATGCGAACAATGGACGCATATGCTCTTTTGATAGGTGTTCCCAAAGTGGTTCGCTTTTTCTTCTTCACATTGTCTACTAATTGGCCGTCATTGTACCCGAAAAAGGCACTAGGTGGCGCGACTGCGCTCGTAGATATATTAGACGGTGGCGTTTCACCCATAAGTGTTGTCCGCATAAACAAAAAACTCGGTGACTCTGGCAATGTTGGAGATTTCGGTGAGAAAGACATCGTTTTGTCGTGCGGCACGGGATTACTCGACGTATTGGAATGTGTCCTGGAAAATGCGGGCAAAATGTCGTGCATCATGCTTCTAGCCGTTTGCTTGTCATATCTTGCAGTGATGGCCACATTTTCGGACGTTATCGAAATCGGGAGCGAATGAGAGGATGACGGTGTTAGTTGCTGGTGCTGTTCTGTCTTTCTGTCAGAAGCCAAACACCCTTTTAAGTTTAGCGTAGGAAGGGAGGACGCCATCGCACTGTTCCTGTACCTTGGAGAGACTGGGATAGTCTCTGGCAACCGCAAGCCGCCCTCTGCGGTGGTTTCTTCCTTTAGGCGGCTACAGGGCACACTTGACAGTTGAGTTTCCTCCTTCGCGCTCTTTTCTCCCGCGCCCTGCCTACTGTTGCTGCCGCTTTTGCCAGGTGCGGTGTCGTCACTCACACCCAGAGACGGTGCAGTGCCCTCGTGAGAAGTGACTACATTTCCCCCAACGGGACGGGGAGAAAATGTCTTGCTTTCATCACTTTTCCCAACCTGCGTGAGTGTGGAGGCGCTGTTCTTTGGCGGATCTGAGAAAAGCACGTCCTTCTTTGGCGGCGCTGTATTTGCCCGCCGCCCTAACACGTTATTCCAGTCCAACGGTGGCTGCTTCGGCAAGATATGGATACGGCTTTCATTCACCCGTAGACGTGTGAAGGCTGGAAGACAAACGTCGACAACTGGGGCATGCGGGCGGATTGTTTGTGGCTTCCCTCGACCCACTTGCGCCCTTGAGTCCTGTGTGGGCAGTGCCAAAAAGCTCGCGTCCCTCTCATGCATAGTCCGGGAGATGAATGACAGTTAAATTGGCCCGCCAGACTAATAGTACCACGACAATGCAGACACACACACACAATTTCCTTTGTGTCGTCAAGTTTGTTGTCAGGCTTTCTTAACAGTACGTCTGGTATGTGTAAATCTGTGTTTTTGCAGAGTCTTCTAAACCCTCCACAGTTGTATTCCTTTCACTTGTCTTCTACAACTGCGTGCTTCTTGTCTATTCCTACCTTTCCCTTGACTTTTCACGTGGCAACACAGAAAACAGTTGGGTACAGAAAGGCACAAGGCTTCCTTCCCAATTGCGATGCCGTGTCTATAGGATTTGAATAAACGTCCTTTCCTTTTTTAAATTTATATTTCTTTTTATTTTGTTCCACCTCCGTCTGTGACCGCAGGGTTGCCTATTGACACCTCGTACCCGCAACCCTCCCCACCCCCCTTCCCCTTTTTTTTTTTTTTCTTCTTCTTCTTCTTTCCCTCCCTTTTTCGCTACCCTTCTACTCCTCAAAGGAATAGAAGTACTTTTTTTTTTTTTCTGTGTGGAAAACGTCCATACAAGGCGACAATGCACATGGATGAATAGATAAAGAGAGAGAGAAGAAAACAAACAAACAAACAAAAAGGCATACGCAGAATTCAGTTGGTAGAGGAATTGTACAGGAGCGGAGTAATAGAGACGTTAAAAACAATACGAGAAGCCGTCCATGAGTGGACGCCACACGTGCAACAATGAATACGGATTTTCCTACAGACTTTAAAAAAAAAAAAGTGGAGAATACAAAGCATCTGGCGACTCTACACATAAGTACACACACACACACACACACATGCCGACAGACACAAACCCCTCATGAAACAGAACGTTTTTCGCCCGAAGAGAAGCTTCTGGCACCACCATCTCCTCGATGTCGTTGAGGATGACGGCGGCTAACGTGGTCACCGGTATTACCACCAGAACCAGTAGCGCTGCGCTTCGCACGCTGCACCAAATGTAATGCCCGCTCCGTGCGCTGCAAGCCGACTGCACTTATTGCTAGACCGCCAGCCCCGCCGCCAAGAAGATCCCCGGCTTCCCCTACAAGGTCGACACAGACGACAGAACGTGCCACGAGTACACGGAGGGTTCCGGCAAGCATGCTATCGGACTGCCGACGGAGTTCACCACTGTTGTTATTTTGATTTTGGTGCCACTTGGGGTCCACCTCTCGCAACATTTCGACCATCATAGAAAGTGTCTTGGGTCCCTGCTGAGCCGCAAGGCGACGCATGGAAGCATGAATAATTTTTCGCAGGGCAAAACGAATATGAAGCATAACAACACCAAAATGCATTGGTTCCTCAATATGTAACGCCGCATCTGGATACCCAACTGTGGGGGTGGTGGTTAAAGAAGACGGCGACGAACCCATGCCATTATGAGAACCGGTTGCTGGCGTAGCACTACGAAATGCTGCAATACGCTCGTGTCGTGCGTCATCTGCCGCTCGTATCATGGCCATTGCCTTCTTATATTCTTCAGCTGAGGTCGGTCGCATTTGTGAAAAATGCATGGCGGTCTCCATCACCTCCGCTAGTGTGAGATTGAGAGAGAAGAGTGTGCGTTTGTGTGTGCGCGTGGCTGTTTCATCCGACTGGTCTGCCATAAACCGGCTCAGTGTCTCCACCTCGTCCTCCTCCTCGTCAACTGCTTGTGTGGTGGAGGTGACATCCATCACCTCGCTTGTTGCCTCGGCTGCATTGGAGGAAATGGGACTTTCAAGGACCACATCTGTGTTCGAAACCCCCAGACTCAATCGGCTTTTCGCCGAACTCTCCCTCACCCCTGCCTTGCTACCCACACCCGCAGCAACAGGGGCAGCAGCGGCACTTTTATCGTTTCCATGAACGCCTCCTAGTTCTAACGTCGACACGGATCCATTATTATTATTATTATTATTATTATTATTATTATTATTATGGCTGCTGCTGCTGCCTCTCCGGGCAATGGCGAACCTGGCGAAGCGGTCCACAATGGGGGGCTGACCAAACACATCGGGACGGAGACTCATGCTGTGGTACAGGACGCTTGCCAACGCATTTTTGCTGACAAAGGCATCCTCACGGCATATGGAGGCAAGGAACGGGATGAGAACCTCATCAGGGACAGAGCCCGCAACTCCCTGCTGCACCGAGGCAACCGTTGGTGGTGCAAGTGCCTCACGGAAGCTTGTCCGCTCCACGATTTGGCCACAAAGCTCCTCGCAAAACAGACGAAGCGCTGCATTTCGCACGTACGTGTTTGAAAGAATACTTGTCGTTGCCGTCATCAATGGCGACAAATGGGCATCCGTACGACGAAGGTAAAAGTGAAGGGAGGCAACAACTTGTGTCAGCGTGAGGCTCAGAGCGTTGCGGATGTTCTGCGAGAGTACCTCGTTGAAGAACGATGGCGACAGAAGACACAACAGCGTGGGGGATCGCACAAAGAGCTCTGGCCGCTTGGAGCGCCACGCATCCAGCGCCATCATGTTCACAGAAGGCTCCTGAGAAGAATGTCCCTTCTGTTTGCCCGCCGCGGCTCCATTCCATGACACCTCCGGGAGAATGTCGCACGAGAAACTGCAAATAATACGATGAACGACGCGGCGGGCAAACGAAGCCCGCAGCGGAGCATCCCGGAGAAGCACACGAATGGTGTCCTGCAGAGCCACAGCAACCATCAGACGCAGTTCATCTGCGTAAAGAAGTGCCTTACGCGCGTGCTCGTGATCGCTGTCTGGTGCAGTGGCAATACTTGTCGCACGGTGTATCATCAAGTCGGTGTGGTCCACAAGCGCCAGACTGACATTCAGGAAATGAAGAAGCGAACTCTCCAGGAGGTTCATGTTGACGCTATCCGGATCTGTTTGTCGCGTATCCGCATGTAGTTGACGTTCTGCCAGGCGCGCTTCTGCATCCTGGCTACGGTGCTCACTCCATTGCGCCGCATCTCCCCCCTCCTCCTCCACATCTTCCTCAAATCCACAACGACCATGTTGTTGTTGTTGTTGCTGCCGCCGCTGCCGCACACCGTCACGCATCTCGCTGTCCCCGTGCATGCGAAATCGATGAAAGACATGCACGGTAAGGGCAAGGAGATGCAGATACAGACACAATGAGCGCATGTACTCAAAGACGCCGTGCTCCGCCGAGTTGAATGCCTCCATCTCCACGCCCTCACTTATATGGGACAAGGCCGTCATGACGGACTGACGATCCGCAGGCGTAAGAAACCACCCCGCTACGTCATTCGCATGTGCGCAGCTTACCGGGAGACGCCGTCGCTGATAAATACGTGGGCCCAGTTGATGGGGATTCTGCATAAATCGCATGACATTCATCGCATTCCCATCCATTCTTTGACGCAGGAGAAAGTACTCTCTCGCAATATACGTCGTGAACACCCTGGCAAAGTCCTCCAACCCCGCCTCACCACGTGGTCCACGCGAAAGATCGGTGAGAATGGTGAAAAGAATACCTAATGGAACAGACGGCTTCTGCTGCTGTTCGTATCGTTGTTGTTTCAGGAGCTGCTCGTAATCACACCGTCCCATTCCACGTGAGTTTTTTCCCTTTTCCTCCACCAACAATCCGCCAATATCGTCATGGGGGGAGATCTCCACGTCACACGCAACGGGAATCACGTCTTTTTTCGCAATTTGTGCCATGACATTCCCACAAGAGGAAAACAGCGGGGTGCCAGAATTCACCGCCGCCCGGCCTTCCCCCAACCGCACGGAAGACCGGCGCCGCCGCACCAACAGCAGGAACTCTCGCTGCAGTTCCTCAAAGCGGAGGCTGTATGGTTCGAGGAACTCCCGCTTCCACTTCTGGGTGAGCTGCAACCATAAACCGCGGCGCTCCTCCAGCGGCACCGGCGATCGCCGACGGACAAATAATTCCAGACTGCCAAAGATGAGCTCTGCGTGAGGGAGGGCCACAATCTCCGCCAGTGTGCACCGAGTAAAGACGGTCTTCACGCAGTTGAAATGCGTCCCAAGTATTTTGTTGCTCTGTGGAATGGAAAGCGCGGCATCTACAATAGACAACACAGCAGATGACGTCTGCACCCGACCACATTGACGGATCAACGCCTCGATAAGTTCGCCGTTTGGAATCGTCTCTTTCGCTTTTCCTTCCACCTTTCCTTCTTCCTCTTCTTCTTGCAGGAGAATGGCGGCATCCATGCCTCCAAGTGTGCCAGTCGTGAGAAGAGCTTGCGACTCCCCGGCATCAACGCCCATGTCCAGCAGTGTTTCATCGCCATCGTCACCTTTATTCTCCAACGCTACGTTCCGTTTTTGGTCGCTTTGCACTAACGTCAGGTCCTCCGTTACGCGTTCAAGCATCAACAGGGGTTTCTCGCACGTCCAGTCAACCACAAATTCAGCATGTCGGCGTTGTGTCTTTCTGGTGGCGGCCACGGATGTCAGTTCGTTCTCCAAATCCCGAAATGACTCAAGAAGAAGCTGCAGTTCGTCTATTGACGGGACACGCAGTGCGGTTGCCGGAGTTTCTCCACTGGGCAATCGCTTCTGCTTTCGTCCCGACGGTTTCTTCGACTCGCCCACCTCCATGCATAGCACGCGCCACACACGATGGATAACAACGCCAGCAGGTTGGTATCGAGCCGACGCCGCCGCAAACGCACGAAGGGATGTGATGATGGCTGTGAGATCTGTCCGTTGTCGCATGCCAACACCGAGCCGTATTGCTAGTCGATACGACAACTGCACGTCGCTTAGAATCCCCCTTAAACCCTCCGTCAGTGTGTCAAGAAGCGGCCTCTCACTCCTCTCGTGGTTTCCGCCCTTCTGCTTGCCAGTGCCTTTATCACGCTGGTCGCCATCATCGCCGCCACGCTTGATGCATGCCTCCACGAGCTCTCCAATTTCGCCAAGAAGAGAATCCGTGGAGCGTCGAAGGGTACCATTGAAGCATAAACGACCGTAGTCGACTGCGGCAACGCGTCCCAGCAATCCCGCAACACAGAGACTGATCCACAACATATGGGCGCGTTCCGCACGGAAGTGCTCCCACAATTCATCGGGCAAGGCAAGAACCGACCGTATACATCCCTGCAATACATGAATCAACGTCTGTAGTGCCAGTAGAAGCACATCGCGAAGCTCGTCACCAAGAATGTCCTGTTGAAGAGCACAACCACGAATAACATCAAGTACATTATCAAAGCATGCGACAAGACAGCCAAAAAAGAGAATGAACTCACGTTCTGCTTCAGGGGTTCGTGTGACGGCCGACAATGCAAAGTAATTTCGTCGTCTTCCTCCATCCTGTTCTTCGTATTCCTTATTCCCCTTGTATCCTATTGCCTCTTTTTCGTCATCATCATCATCATCTTCTTCCTCTATTTTCCTTGCCTCTTCCTCCAAGTCCTTTTCCACACCATGCCTCCTAAGAGGATCGTCTGTGCTGCTTTGTGAGCGCGTCTCACGGTACGCTGCAGACGCCCGCTGCACGAGAATCACCGCCTGCTTCATGGCAAACAACATCGCACGATACTCGCCACGTGTAGCATGCTTTAGGAGCCCATGCAGAGGAGTCACACGATCAAATCCAAGCAGCGTTATTGGCGACTCTGACATGATGTCCGAGAGGCAGAGAATACTTCTCATGAGAGTGTGCGTCAGCCGCGGCGTTGCCGGGTTGGACAAAGAGCGTAGCTGCGAAAGAACTGCCCGCGTGGCCACATCTCCCATGGACGTTGTCGTCGCCAACTGATGCTTGCGCTGTATCTTCAGCGCCGTCTCGGCGAGGTTGAAGGCCCACCACACCATCGTCCAGCTTCCGGCGGAACTCAGGTAGCCGATATAGTCAAGCAGCACCAACGGGGCCGTCTCAACACGCGTCAAGGACGCCATCGCATTCTCTCGCTGCATGGCATTCGCCGTTGGAGATGATGAGCCCTCCAGCGGGACACGAGACAGGCGCTCCTGCACCCGCAGGTACTGCTCAATGAAGCGCACCAGGTTGCCGAGGAGTTGGGCACTGATGTATGTATTCGCCATAAAACTCAAACACTTGACAGATTCCTCCAACAGCTTTTTGTGATCCGCAGTAGACGACAAGTCCACTCGCTGCCCGTTCTGTAAATAATACTGCAGCGCCGAAACGCAGCTGCCCTCGCGATCGCCGTAGAGTGGCTGCACCCTTGAGAAAGGAAGGAGACCGTTACTTAGATCAAGCACATGAAGGTAGGAGTAACCACTGCGCTTCCTAAACAGGAAAGAAATGCTGCCGCTGCTCTTCAGTGCTTGGGTGCTGTCAATGGTGGGCAATTGCGCCGCTGGTAGTCCGTAGTCGCTGGCATGCTTCCCACCCCCGCGACGCGCATGCCGAAGGCAATACACCGCCACGCCAATCAATAGATCACTGCTGTCGTTTTTTCTGGCCGCCGTCATTCTCAGATCTGGAAAGGACACAAACTTAGAAAGCACGGCAAGAACAAAGAGCACGGACTCACAGGCTGCGGCATGTGTCTCTGGGGTATCCTCCTCTGCGCTCTTCACAAGGCTAATCAGCACGGCAGGGAGGACACATTTAAGTAAAGAATTCTCTCCAAACTGCAGCAACTCCTGCTGCTCTGTCCCCAGATGAATATGCAGGTCAAAGAGCGCGTCAATAAAACTTGCATATCCGCAAAGAAGAATAAGCTCCTCATCTGCAGCAAGTACAGAAAGCAAAGATGAAAACGCACCACACGCCCATGTATGTACCACCTTCATTTCCTCTTCTGTCATCTTTGTTGCTCCGGGGAATTTACCGTTATGCCTCAGTAAAAATGCCACATCGCGCAGACTGGAGAGAATCAGCGCACATGTCCACTGCTTGGTGACCGGAGGGAGATACGGTGCCGCAGCAGGGGCGGTAAGACATTCCAAAGCCGTACTTATGGAACGCTTTAACCATCCCAATTTTTCATGCCGACGTGTTCGCTGAACCAGTAGACTCATAAGATTTGACTCCAGTAAAGAGGGAAGATTAAATTGTTGCGAATGTCTTCCTTGGAAGAAAACTGGAGCACTACTACGCAACCACCAGTTGCTGGCAATTGCGTCCGAGTAGAAAGAGTTCCCCAAGAGCATTTGTTGTGTGCCCGCAACGATGGCGACACCCAACACGCGATGTATATTCCCATCGCGTGTGTGTAACGTGTCGGCCATATCGTACACGCGGTGAGCGGCGGCAGCCAGGGCAGTGGAGAGATGCTGCAGGCTCGTCGCAACGAACGGCGGAAACACCAGTTCAGATTCATCCCCGTCCTTCATCTCGTATACCCTACCCATATTTACCACATCTCCCCCTTCTTCTTCTTCTTCATGTTGTTGCTGCTGCTGTTTCTGATGGTGGGCGTGTTTCGGCTTCAAAAATTGGGTCATTTTTTGTGTTGACTTCGTCTTCTCCACGCGACGACGGGCTGCCAACAACGCCAACCACGTCATTTCCAGCGCTGTACTGCGGTTCGGCTGCTCCACGGCATGCAAATCCGATAGCTGAAACACGGCGTCCTTCGCGGCGACGATCATGTCAAACAACGGGCTGTTCACCGCCGTGCCGCTAGCCGCCCCGGACGCGGTGGTCCCCGACAAGTCATTCTTCTCCCACACCCGCCGTGGTGAGAAGCGGGACGACTTACGCATGGCCTCTGCAGAGGTTGGGAGCAACACCCCCTCTTTCTCATCCTTCTTCCTAAAGAGCGATCGACCCCCGCGATGTCGTCTCAGTCGTGCATCACTCGTGTCGTACGTGCCAGCGTCACCACCGCCCCCATCCTCCTCCGCGGCAGGTCCCGTCGTCCGTGCCGCCCGTCGCTCCTCGAACGCCTTCTCGTCAAAGTACAACATGGAACTTACCGTGCTGACCAGTTCCGTCTGCACCGTCTCTAGTTGTCGGATGCTCATGTGGCCGCTGCCATGAAGATGGTGCTCAAACCGCAGCTGCGCCGTCACGTCCGAGTAGCCCTCAAGCAATATGGGCAGCAACCGCAACCACCAAAAGGCCGCCATGACACCGTGAAGCTGTAAGGCAGATTGATGGCGCAACCAACTTTGTCGAATTGTGAGTACAATCGTGACGGCACAGCAGTCCTTGTTCTCCACTGCATTCAAAACGGCCCCCTCCTGCTTCCCCGCCTCCGCGGCCGCCGTCATGAGGCAAAAAGGCACCATCTTGAAGTATGCTCCGCAGAATGACAGCAACGCTTCGGCCGGCGCTCCCTTGTACGCAGATGAGTGCCGATCCTCGCAAGACTCGGGAGCACAACAGTACTGAAATGACTTCATGACAAGAGCCTCAAGGCCTTCCACCGTTTCTACAGACCCCTCACGTTCACGGATTGTGAACACCCGTTTCTCCAGCTCGCACATCACACACTTGACAACCCTCGCCAGATGGCGTGACTTCTCAGAGTCCTTCACATCCTCACCTCCCTCCGTTGCGTGCGGCGATGAGTTTGGCGTCTCTCCTTCACACCGCAAGACGTCTTCCATCACACGGCAAAGCATTGCTACACGCCACAGCGCGTTTGTTACTGTATCACCCATACCATCAGAAACCGTGTCGGTTTCCTCCTCGGCTCTGAAATGGCGTCCCGTCCTTTTCTTCTTGACGGCGGGCAAACACAACGCGTCAAGTTTGTCCAAAAAGACTCGTACCAAATCGCGTAATGCCTTCTCTGTGACACACTCCCGGCCAATCCGCGAAAAAGTGACGGACGCACACGACAACAACAGGTGCCATTCCCGCAGCTCACCCCACAGTCGTGCCTGGCGGCCCAATGGCGCCACAACGGCCTCCGCTGATTTCAGCGGCGGAAGCGTCATCGTCACGTGTGAGGACAAAAACTCCGTTGACGCTCCCCCTTTCCGCAGCTTCAGTGCCACGGCGAGCAACGAACACAGAAGCGCTATGCTTTCCTCACACGTTGGCTCTAAAGGAGAGCTGGTGGAAAGGCCATCTTGTGTTCTTCGCGTCAGCCGACTCACCTTGCCCCAGTCCACCTCGAATAGCCCTGTTGCATCTGCGGCGTGGATCTGTGAGTACGTCAGTCGCTGCGACGTGCCCGGTTCACCAATCCACTTCTTTTTCCTCTTTTCTCTTCCCGCACTTTCGTGTTCCTTCGTTTCTTCTTCTTGCATGAGAAGTGCATCCCTTGCCCGCCATAAGAGTTGATGCAGAACCTGCCCCATATCCGTTTGCCGCGGCGTGATGTTGGCAACGTCCTCAAGAGCAGGCCCAGCGCCACCCCTGTCGTTGGGATTGGCTTGAACCTCTGCACCGAGACTCTTGTGCCGAACAGCAATGACAATGCTGAGAAATGTGTGCGAAGCCGTAATGACAGATGTGTCCACTCCTCTTACGCAACGCCACGCACAAAAAAGGTTTCGCATATTTGCGTCAATAGACAATTCCTCACTCCCTTCCCTGTTTTTTCCCACCACACGGACAGCCGTATCAATGTATGTTTCGGTATATATATATATATTCACGAACTGCGCCTCTTGCTTCCTGAGATAATGACAGAAAAAGCAATAAGATGCAAACGAAAAAAAAAAAAAGAAAAAAAAAAAAAAAGAGAGAGAGAGAGAGAGAGCAACAACAAACAAAAAACTGATAAGAAGAAGTAATAAAAACACATATATATTATTTTTATTTTTGTTCTTGAGAAAGAAGGGAGAAATGGGAAGGTAATGATGATTATGTTCACTTTTCACGACCTCATTTTCTGCCTGCCAACACCGAGCGCATACGAGCTTTTGTGCTCCTGCGAGGAACGGAGCCGCAAAGTCGTCCTCATTCATTAAAAGTGGGCATCGATTAACCCCTCACGTGTTATACGAAACAGCACTCATCCATGTGCACTGAAAGGTTGTGCGCATGCATGCATGTGTACTCCTATTCAATATATATATATATATATATATATATATATATATATATATATATATATATATTAATGTTAGTTTTATTTTTCCTCTTTTTTCATCCAACTCCTTCCAGCGACACCACACACAGACACAGACAAATTGATAGAAAACGATGCACGGATAGACATGCATGCAATGTCTACTTCGCACTATTCAAAAGTGTGCTCCAACACATCACGTAGAACCGCGGCGTCTGGTGCCAACTTCACACACGCCGTTCCCACCTTTGGCCGCTCGCCCACCATAATGGCGGAGCTGATCGACTGCAACTCATCGCTCAGTCCCCGACTCACAGCCGTGTGCAGCCACCGCTTTGACGACGCAAATGTCATCTGGAAGAGCGGACTCGCACTCTGTGAAATGACGCCTGTAAAGTTGAAGTTCTCCCATGTACCGCGATGCGTGGCAGCGTCAGCGATGAGCGTCAGATGGCGATGGTCAACGGAGTACCGCTTGAATAATTTGGACAGCTCGTCGTAAAGGGTGCGGTATGCCGACTCGACACCAAACCAGTTCGCCATGTCACGAATGTCTGTGGAGCGGGCCTGCCGCAATTTAATCGCCCGCGTCCCCAAAGTAAAAAGAGAAAGAAACGACAAGACATGACGCATCGTCGCGTTGGCGCCCTGAA